TTATTTCTCAAGTGAGATGAAATTTAAATTCATTGTTATTTTACATGTGTTAAAAAAAGCTAGTAGATTCTTCTGTTATTAAATACCCTTTTTGTAATTATATTTTTCCTTGATACCCTTGATACCCCACCCGTTGTATAGAGCAACCCTTATAAATCCATACTTTTAATATTATAAATTCAGAAGTATATTTGTTCGTTGGTCTGTTTTTTGTTTGTCCTTCTTTCACATCGAAACAGAATGACCGATTGGCGTGATTTTTTATGTGAAGATTGTTGGACAGCTGGAGAGTGACTTAGGTTACATTTTACGGTACGGTCATCTCATTCCCACGGGAAAACATGTTAAAAACCAACGTATAACAACTCATAATACCTATGCATATATATAATATAGTCTACTGTCTATCTATTCCATACTATAGGTCGAATCCGAGCAAAGCGAAAGTGAGTCGATAGTTAGTATATAAAAATCCTACATACCGACAACTGAATTATGTGACATGACCTATTTAATTCTATGTAGAATGCCACGGCTTTTTATTGGTAACATATAGTCTACACACACTATGTTGAAAGAAATATATTAACCTTTAATCGGGTCATTTGCTACAAACTTTTATAGATTCCGTGTCATAGAACACTGTCGGTTCAGTGAAGGCTAAAGTAATGAATTGGAAGATGAAATATAGAGATGTCATAAGAACGTATGTCTTTATAACTCAATTCGCTTTGATCGGATATCTTACCTCGCAGGAAAACTGAATTATTGTAAAGATTTTTTTTATAAATAGACATTTAAGGAAATTGATATAAAATAAATATTTTTATATGGTTTATCATATATGTACAATGTACATACATATGAACGTATAAATAACTAGCATTGCCCGCAGCTTCGCTCGCGTTCAGATAACCAAGAACCAAATTCTTAGGTTTTACATATTAGTATACTCTTACATTGCAGTTTTTGTATTTTTTTCTCAAAAATGAGATATTTTTCCGCGGTAAAAAATATCGTATATATTGACCCGGGTAACCAGCTATCACCATACCAAATTTCATCAAAATCCCTCCAGTGATTTATCTGTGATGCGGTAACAGACAGACAGGCAAAAATTCTATTATGTGTTACAATTTTATTATATGTATAGATATAAAAAATATAAGCAGGTTAAAATTGAGAAATGTGCGAATTTATGTGTATTTTACTATTATAAATATATATTAAAAATGTGAAAGTTTAGTCTTTAGTATAGTAGTTATTGTTACTCAATCACGCCAGAAAGGCTGAACGGGTCTGGATGAAATTTTACACGGAGGTAGACACGGAGGTAGACTATAAAGTCTACAATAGCACGTAAGCTACTTTTATCCCGGAAAAATGTACAGTTCCCGTGGGATAGCTTTGTATTTATTTTTATACAAGTAAACGCGAGCGAAGCGAGGGTGAGCCGTTAATGTAAAATAAAGTATATACGTACCTATTTCAATTTTAAAACTGTCAAAAATGGTGGACGTTTCCTGTGCAAAAATCGAGCCCTAGAAAATATTATAGCTAGAGAGCATTTCGTATTATGAAACAATTTGAAATAAAAATTTGATGATACGGCGTTATTCAATAGACTAAAATGAGACTTATAAACACAAATTTGACGTTTTGTAAATAAGTTTAATATGTTCACTGAAGCATACCTATACGTTTGGTGGTTGTTGCGAGATGTGACGATAGAACACACATAAAAGTCTATGTTACGTCACTAATTAAATAATGATTATCGAAAAGTCAACACCATACACGTAAAAACAGTACAGAAGAGAAAGTTCAGGGAGACACAATAAAAGCAAGTAATTAGCGTCATATCACAAAGCCTCGACTGCCTGCTTAGTAAGAATCACAAGTGGCCGGTACCTGTGAAGAACGAATTCCGATATCCCGCATACTAGGAATTTCGCGTGGCTATGCTTGTGAATTTAATAAAAATGAATAAATAATAATTAATAAATATAATTAAGTGTACGTGTTGTATGTATTTAGGTGTGTGGATAATATAAATATTATGGAATGAAAACTTTAATATATACCATATATATAACTATATATGATAAATTAAATATGTTATAGTACCTATAAGTCACATACATACGTATTTTCACATATTATTATATATACTTATACTGTAAAACTTAGAATCACGGCACACCTTACCATTTAATATTTTTATATATTTGTCGTAAAAGCTCATCATATATTTCGGATTTCTAATAGCATTTACTCACTACAAATGTAAGTCTTGACTTTGATTTACAATTGTAGTAAATATTTAGATTAAATTAATTAGTTTTTATAATTCGTTAGCCAAAATGCAAAAACACTTATAAATTATAATTTCATCATATCCATAGGTACCACCACCGTCAGTTCGCAAAAACTTGTCTCTCATAGATATATTATAAAATTACTCATTGAATGCAACACCAAGAGGTCTTTGAAAGTTATAACTTAAAAGCCCTTGAAATTTTATTGAAATTTTTAGATTATCTTCAATTTTGAAACATTTCAATTTTATTAAATGGAATACTCCAAGAAATTAATTTGAGTTGATCCCCCATTATGGGTTAGGCTACGACCAGCGCGTGTCAATCATAATATTTACTTGGAAGCCATCATTCATCGTTGGCGTCAAAATAAGGTGCGCCATTTTTTATACTCCTTGTTAATAAAGTAGACACAATATTTTCTTAGTTTTGTTTGATAATATTCACAAATTTAAATTTTTTTTTGATGATTAAAATGAAATTTTAAGTACGTATATCTAATTAACAAGTACTTCCCCAATATGCTGCCAATATTCTCTCAACGTTGATTAAGAAAGTTACTAACTTTTCCATAATATGTGGGTTGCTCCTAGTACTTCTTTGATAGCAGAGTGGACCTTGGGACCCACTTGGTTGTATTGGTCTGCCTCGGTATTTGAGTCTAAAGTGATCCTGCGAGGCATCACTAAGAAGGAGAAGGTTCCGTTAGGTTTTAATGGATATTACTGCTTTCTCAGCCGGTGAGTATATATATATATATATACTATATACACAGGCGGTATGCTTAAATACATTTGCCAACGTTAACTTAAGGTATATTTAGAAATGACCTCCTAGATACCTTATTATTCAAACCTTTTTAAAGATATCCCACAATCTTATGTGTACTCAATACTTTCAGCCTATTCGTACAAGTGCAAACTCTTCATGTACGAAGTGTTAATTCTTTTTTATTTTTCGTAATTTGACCATAGGGTTTTCTAGCAGTTTACTAGATCCATAGTTTTAAATTTTAGCTATATAGTTTCCGCCGATATCTCAAAGTCAAATTGTTGTAACATACGGACAGACGGACATGAAAATCACTTTCATAATAATTATAATATTTTTTGTAAATAGTCAGACACTTGCCTTTTAATACATTTTTTTATAAATTTATTTTCTCATTTGCCTAAAGTAATTACCCCCAAGAACCTTTGTTTGCAACTCTATTGTTGTTCCTTAGAAAATGCTCACTGTTTAATAAAACATAGCTTATTAAAGTAAAAATTCAATTAAAAGAAATTAAATGGAGAGCTAACAATAAATTATGCTATTTTACATCTCAAATATCTATTATAACACGAATTAAGAATACTCGTAGGAATTTCTCGTCACTAGTATAGAAAAAATAAATAATTTTAATTTTATAATCTAAAAACACACTCTTAACTAACTGAAAAGCAAGTAAAAGTCCTAACACCGAAGGTTTTAATATAAGCTTTCGGATATTTCCACTATCTACCGTTATATACATACAAACAGTTCAATATTATATTAAATAGAATAGATACATATATTTAATAGACGTCACGTTTGGCGAAGTTTGTAGTAACCTTACTTGCTGTGCCAGGGGTCGCGGTTTCGAGTCCCGCTGGGGATATTTGTGCTCCAGTCATGGGTGTTTATATGTATAATACGAGTATGTATGTGCTTAAAGTTATATACGTGTAATGTATTAACTAGTCCCGCTCGACCACTGGGAGCGAACGGACGCGCTCAGATCGTCGAAAACGGCGCTCCGGTTGAAGAAACAGTAAAGAAACGGCGTTAAAAGTTATAAAAATCGTTAAATAATAGAAAAAGGACTAAAAATTTGCTAAAAATTGTTTTAAATAGTGTGTTAAGTGTTAACGTATATTTATATAACAATAGTGACAAAAATTGTGCACGAAATTAGCAAAAAATTGACAAAAAGTGACAAAGTTGAAAAATTTCAAACTGTTTTCGCGTGCGCTGCTCGATCTAGATCGACAACGTATCAATTTTATTTGTGCGTTTTAAAGTGCTCCCCAAGATCTTTCAAACGACACCACTCCCGGATTTTTCCGACTCCGGGAAGTGGTCGAAAAGCTCAAAAAAATAAGTTTGACGAATTCTCTCTTTCGCAAACGGAGAGAGACGGAGACTCCTACCCACCAATACTGGAAAGAGCAAGACGCGCAGATTACAAAAAGGTATCGTGCAAAGCCGTATCTAAAATAGTGACGAAGTTATAGACATTTCAAATTTCGAAAAATAAGTGCTGAACTTTAAAGGAACTTTATAAAAAAAAAAAAAAAAAAAAATCTACAGTGACGACCCCCCCTAAAATTTATTCCAAATTAAAGAGCAACTCTTCAAGATTATCACAGAAAAAACCGCATCGAAATCCAATCAGTAGTTTTTAAGAAAATAGCCAATCTATAAAATAGAACAAAAGTTCACTATCCTTTGTATATACCTACTACAATAGTATTAGATAGATATATTTCCAATTCGGAAATTATTTAAGATATAAATAGTGTTTTAAGATAGATTTAATTAGGACATAGACAGCGGACCTATACACCGCGAAAAATATTATCATAAGACTGTGACTTGAGCCCTGTACACTCAAATATTAGCAGTAATTTAATAAAAGGACGAGAGCCGGACTCAAACATGCAGAGGACACCCTCCAAAACGTCCAAACCGCCAGCGGCCAAGGCGAAAACCGCTAAACAACAAGCCACGTCGAGCAAAATAGCAAAAATGGAAACACCGACATCACCATCACCATCAAAGCTACCAATACCCCCACCCGTACCTTTACCTCTACCCCCTAATGTAACTAAACTAATAAGGCAAAGATCTGATATCATGCCTCCTAAACAAGAATTAGATAGTAGAGCAGAAAAACATTACGACGCCATTATCGAAAACCTAAACAAATCAGGGAACATAAAATCAACAATAAAAGAAAATATAAACTTTCATGCAACAAAATTGTACCATATGTTAGATTCCATAAACTGCGAGATGACAGATTTAGCCAGAGAGGTACTAGCGGCGGTAATGGAAAGACTCGACCAGACACCAGTACAAGTAAAACAACAGCAGGAAACAGAAGAAATAAAGAATAAACTAGACCAATTTTTAGAACAAGTAAAGACACAAAATTTAGAACTAAAACAAGAAATCTTGGACTTGAAAACGGAATTAAGAATAATAAAGGAGGAGAAAAGCAACAACAAAATGGTGGAAGAAATACAAAAACAAAACATACTAAGCGAAAAAACTCAAAAGGACCTACAGGAAATTAAAGAAGAGATTAAAGCAATACCAACAACACAACCTACACTAACCGAGAAGCCAATACCAACACCAGCATCCTACTCGCAAGCACTACAACAAGTACCACTACCAAAACCGACCCTCTGCCTACTTGTAGGTACGGAAGATGTAAACGACACTAGCGAAGAAGTCATAACGAAGATCAAGAAAACCCTAAACGCGAGAAATACCGGACTCCAGATTTCTAAGCTGAGAAAGGTAAAGGATCAAAAGGTGCTTATCGGTTGTGACAGGAAGGATGACATAGATAGCATAAGGGAGAAACTAGAAAAGAACAAATTCAGAGTGGAAACCAAAGAAAATAAGGACCCTCTAGTAATTATCCGGAATGTTAACAAAAGCAACACAGACGAAGACATATTGCAATCACTAGTAAAGCAAAATTATGAAATATTAGATCACATACCAACAGAAGAGTATAGAATGAAGGTTAGACATCGACGAAGGGCAAGGAACCCGATGGAAACCCACGTGGTTCTAGAGGTATCCCCACAAGTTTGGAAGGCGCTAACAACAGCCGGTAAAGTTTACGTGGACATCCAAAGGGTCCCAGTGTTTGACCTTTCACCACTGGTGCAGTGCTCACGATGTCTGGCATTTGGACACGGGAAGAAATGGTGCACGGAGAGTGTGGACCTGTGCAGCCATTGCTCCGGCCCTCACATGCGTAGCGAATGCCCCAGCCAGCAGGCAGGTGAAGAACCTTCTTGTAAGAACTGCCAGCAGGCCAAATGTGCGAAGACCAACCACAACAGCTTCGACGTGCACTGCCCAGTGAGGAAAAAATGGGATGCCCTCGCCCGTTCAAGTGTGGCTTATAGCTGAGGCCAAAAATAGAACAGGAGAAATCGCATCAGACTCCAATAAGCAAGGTATAATGACTATACCTCGAGGCAAAATATACTTTACCCCGAAAGCATGAGTCGAAACAGCACAATAGAATACGCCACTGCAAACCAGAAACAGAAAACATAATGTTTTGCTGACCAGTGTTAATTCAGTAGGACCACAACCACAAACAATAATTATATTAAAATTAAGTAAATAAAATTAGTACTGAAAAAAAAAAAAAAAAAAAAAAAAAAAAAAAAAAAAAAAAAAAAAAAAAAAAATTAGATAAAAATATACAGTACTTACCTAGCAGTAGTAAAAGATAATTGTAAGAAACTAGTATTAACCTATATTATAAATAATATAAGCATAATACTTAAGAAAAAGATAAAAGCATATGTATATAGAAATAGAAACAACACAACAACCATCTCTAGGATAAAATAATGTATAAACTAAGAAATAGAAATTACACGGCAAATAAGCTAAGATAAAAATTAAGTAGAAATAAAAATTACTACCTTCGCCTTGTAATGTATACAAATAAAATATAAGAAATAAGTAAACAATTTGTAAACAAACACTGTAATAACTTTGGATAACAAAAGATAGCTTCTCTCAATAGAATAAGAAATAGTAAACAACAAATGTAAAAAATCAAAATTCCTTTGGTCATAAAATATTGTAAAAACCTCCAAATTGTAAACAAAGTTTCTGACCACCACGTCAGAAGAGTTCCGGCTTTATTAAAAAAAAAAAAAAAAAAAAAAATGTATTAACTATCTGGTATCCATAACACAAGCCTCTTAGCTTACCATGGAATTAGATGGTGCTGTGTGTTAATGTCCCAACATATAACTTAATTAACTTAATATTATGAAATTACAATATAATTATCCGGAATCCAGATTACATATGTATGTATTTATACTTTTGTGTAACATCCATTTAGTTGAATTTACAAAAATCCATTCTTTTATTTAGAGACCCTGGGAACGACTTAGGATAATTTTCGTCCCGGAAAACAACACAATATATTGAGGGGATGAAGACGGGGGTGGTTTGAATGGGGTATCAATCATTTCACAAGTAAGGTATAATAATATATATTTTTTATATACTTACTTACTTTTCTATACCTATGTGTGTATGTAAATTAATAATGTACATATATAATCTATTCTATGCTAACCGTTAAAACGTTACCCAGAGACGAACCCGAGCGAAACGAGGGTGAGTCGCTAGTTTTTATATAAAACTATTTTTTCAGATTTTTTCGCAGATTTCTTCTGATTTTTGGTGGAACAACTATATATAGACCTTTGAGAAGCTTAAACCCTTAGTCTCTTCCGTGACCATGATTGCTGTTGCATTGGAAACGTCAAGAACCAAAAATGAAAATAAATTCTCGAAAAAACTCTAAACGATAAGTTTTATTTAAAAACAATAAAAAAAAACAAAAGTCAAAAACAAAACAAAAAGTTTAATAAAAATTAATAATAATATTATCTAATTTTAGCCTTACCCTGACTCTGCTGAAAAATGACACCTTCTTTAGGCCATGTTAAGTGCGAACCCATATATAACATATGAAAGTGTTCAGTCAAGTAGAAACGGTCAAAGTGGGTAAAGTTTCACGGAAATACTTAACCACAAAGGCTTTCAGGCAGTTTTAAAGAACAAAAGAATTCATAGAGTTGTTAACGACCTTTAAGATGACCAACCTGCGTGTTAAAAGTGTTTTTGTATTTCCCTTTTATTTTTAAACTAAATAAAATGAATATAGAATCCCATTGAATTAGATAAATTGCTTGACCAACACTAACATATTGTTATTAAAGTCAGAAATAAAGGTTTGTCAATTTAACACTCGGACGAAAAATTGTTTATGCAATGGAGGAAAAACAAAAATAACTTAAAAATAGTTTTCTTGTATAGGAATTGAATTTTAAGCTTACTCGTGGAAGACAAGATTGAAAATAAACATTTTTGACATTAAAAGTAAGTTAGGCGCCATAAAAATAGATAATACAATAGCGATTTGCGAAAGTGCAGTAAATAAAATTTATTATTAGAAGCTAACCAGAATTTGTCTGATAATTTACATGTAAGCATTACAAAAATCAAGATAACTAAAATATATGGGAAGCATATATTTCAGTAATCTTGATTTTTATATCAGCCAATAACACCTAAATAAAATTAATGTCGCTCGTCCAATTATTTTAATGCTGTTCACAGGAATTAAAAAAATATATTTAAGGTACTTCATGCCAATTTTTTTTTAAATCGACATAGAGACTCAACAAAGTTAGTATTTAATAGCGGCTTACTCTCGCTTCGCTCGGGTTCGCCTCTAGAAAAGCACAATCTACCCCACGGGAACCGTTCATTTTTCAGTTTAACAAATATTCGACGTGATTCTTTAAATTGATATAACTTTTTTATTTATGAACCGATTAATAAAGTGATTAATAAAGTGAAATTAAGTGAAGCTTACCACAACATATTAGTGTAAACCATATCTAAATCGGATAAGCCGTTTCTGAGATTAGCGTGTACAAACGCACAGACAAACAGACAAAAATTCTAACAATCATTGTTTTGGGTCCTATTTTCGTTTATAAAGATCCCAATAATATTTTTTCTCATATATCTTTCGTAGCGATCCGTTACATTTTTATTATTTGTATATAGTATAGACAGATTATCTAAACATATAAATTAACATATGCTGACTGATTCTTGATGAATGAATGAAGCTCAAAGAAAACTACTATGGCTAATGGATAAAAAATTAGACGTCTTCTTTTTTTAAAATAGCCCCTATAGTACAGTGCAATTAATCTAAAAAGCAGCCTAACCTCAACATCCAAAGCAAAAATTTCTCTCCAGCTCCAAATTATTCTATACAGTCCACATATTGTTTGGTAAAAAGTTACACCGTTTCGAGCGTCGGGTTTGGGGTGGGAGGGGGTTATATGTTGGTAAATTAGTAGTTTTCATCAGTTTTTCTGAAAAATTTGAAAAACTATTCGGTTTAGCACAAAAAGTGTCATATACAAAAGTAATCTACAATAAATTGTAAACAAAAATGGTTCCATGCCTAATCTTGCTAAGCTGAACGGTTCCAGAGTTACGGAGGTAGAGTGACATGGAGCAATATTTATTTCAACATTTTTATAACCGACAAATTTTTCATAGAAACAAATGCCTAATTTTATCTTAAGGCGAAGTCAGTACATCTAGCATAAAATATCACCAAAATGCTCTTATTTTTAATTATAATCTTTATATATATAATTCTTCTGTGAGTGTGTATGTCACTGAACTTCTCTCAAACGACTGGACCGATTTTGATGAAATTTTTTGTGTGTGATCAAGCGGATCTGGGAATGGTTTAGATTCACAATTTGAATAATAATTTTCATCAAAAAAATTATTAAAAAAAGTTTGAAATTTTAAAATTAAAGACGTGTAGACAGGACAACATCTGTCGGGTCCGCTAGTATTATAATAATTCTTTATTATAAGTGTACATTTATATAATAACATAGACAAGAATACGTTGTTAATTTTCAAGAACGATTATTACTTTGAAGACAAGAAAGTAAATAAGTTTAAACAATTGCAAAAGTATAAAGTTTTCGGCAACTCCGTGTATTATGTCACAGTGGAAAAGGAAAAGTTTGATGAAACTCTAATATGGAACGCTTGCTATAATATTAAATATTCATGACTGTGTCTTCTTAAATAGGTTTTCATTGAGTCATCGCTGATGTTATACATCTCATTTGATAATACATATATTTCTTTTAATTAAGATTTATATAATAATTATAATTCTTGGCTTTCTTGGAAAAAGTGACAGAAATATTAAAATCGATAGTCTAGTGACTATTATATATTTCTGCAGATGTGGTAGTCCTGGGTTAAGGTAGGTTTGGTCAAGTTGAGCAATCGACCTTTCAAACTGATTGAGTTTTGAGACGTCTAAAACCTTAGTCTCTCCCATGACCATGATCGCTGTAAAGCATTCGAAACGTCGGGAACCAAAAACGTTAAAAAACACAGCAATAAAATCCGAACAAATTATTTTATTTAATTATAGTTACCGGATTATTCCGTTAAGAAATTCTAAGTAACACGGAGTTGGGAAGTTGGCGATGTTTCGGAAAAGGTGTAATTCTTTGATCCTGCATCTGATCTTTCAACAGTGTAATCGTGTTTGCAGATGGCTCGTCTTTAACATTTTTGTTGATAAGTTTTAAATGATTATCTTCACACCAAATTAAAAACTTATCACAATTTATTACTAGCAGATATGGCTTGCATTTTTATTATCCATTGTTGGCATTTTTTAAATATCTTTAAGTCAGAATAAATAGATGCAGTGAAACAATAAACACTACTTGATTAACTTCCAAAAAAAAGGTGGTGCTATGTTCAATGCGTATTTTTTTTTCTTATCAAAATCAAAGTACCTATATTATAAATATGAATTATCAATCTAATTATTAAATAATTATCAACTGTACAAAACTGCTCCATTACCTGTAATGAAGCGAAGAGTTTTTCGTAATTATAATAAGTAACATCGATACGTTCCTATAATTTTAAATATGTGGGTTGCTCATATATTAAGTACCTACTAAAAATAAACCTATATTAGGTATTAATACTTATAATATATATAATTAGGGGATAAATTATAAAATATTTGTATAAAAATAAGTGGATCAGAATATATAAGTTTAACGAGTGACATTTAACTTAGTAAATAAAAACTATCTGACACCTACAACTTTTCTTGCTTAGAAATCGCTATACGTAAGTCTGCTTGTTTACGTCAAAACTGATTGAAGACAATTTATTTCTTGTCCTGTTAGTTTTAACGAATGTCACTTGAAATTATGACAGCCTTCCATATAATGTATACTCGTAGATATCAATAAGATATAATTGTGTATTATATATAGCTAACTACTCGTATCACGTTTGGAGGATCTCTATCCTGTCCTCTATGACTGTCCTTTATTTTAGATGTGTTCTATTTAATAGTTTTTTTATGAAGTTTTAAAAACTTTTTCTTATTTTTACTTCGAATAGACACTAAAGAGTGTTATACAAAAATAATAGACGGACATCCCAATTACATCACTTGCAAAGTTTCATTCCAATTAATATAAAAAAATTCTCATTAGCTTTTCTAGGTTTAGTTAGGTAGGTACCAAATAATTAGGTACTTCAAAAGAAAGCTAATATAAAAGCCGGTTCAAAAATAAAGTTGTTTTATGTTTTATACGAATTTGTAAAATAAAACTAATACATATATATATATACAAATACACATACTAATAAGCAAAGATCGCCAATTCGATTTCCCCGTAAGGTATTTTTTATATCACAAAGTACAAAACCGCTATTATACTTAGGTACAGGATTTAATAAATGCCGCCCTAAAATAAAAAATGCCGCCCTATCATCGAAAATTCGCATAAAATTAATAAAGTTTTTTTTCTAATTATTAATTTTTATAGAAAATACAAAAAAAATTAAATGATTTCAATTTTTCGAGATATATACTAGTATTTTTTTAAACTATTCATTTTTGGAAAATAAAAAAAAAGCATTTTCGATAATGCGAAAAAAAATTTTTTTCCGTCCTCCGAATTTTGCCACCCTGGGCACTAGCCCTGAGTGCCCCTAGTGTAAATCCAGCGCTGCTTAGGTACAATATCAGAACACTGCCGAAAATAGAAAAATAAGAATCGACATAATCTCTCTGCATATACAAGACGAGATAAAAAACAATAAAATAGTTATAGATATTCTATGGAAAACAAGCCTATTTATAATTTCGCTACTATAAGTTACTTGTTACACGTGAATAATGTTTTAGTTGTTTGAGAAAAAGAAAGTTTCTAACTGAAGCCATTTCGGGACAACTTATAAATGATTGCAGCTTTAATGAAATTTATTGCTATGAAATATTTTATATCAGTGGCCAATTTAAGTATTTATAATCTACTAGCATTGCCCGCGGCTCCGCCCGCGTTCAAATGACCAAAAACCAAATTATCCGTAGTTTTACATACTAATACTCTTACAATGCAGTTTTTGTATTTTTTCTCAGAAATTAGATATTTTGCCGCGGTAAAAAGTATCCTATATGTTGACCCGGATAACCAGCTTTCACCATACCACATTTCATCAAAATTTCTCCAATGGTTTTTCTGTGATGCGGTAACAGACAGACAATAAAAACTTTTTAACAAAAAAATAAAAACCGACTTCAAACAAAAGCACTAAAAAGTAAAAAATAACTGATTGGTAGTTTTCATTCACTATACATATCTAATTAAATATATTCGAAGTCGGTGTGCTTTGCTTTATATGGCCTGGCACCGATTTCGAAAATATTTGATTAGGTATGTATTTTATAGGTAGGCTTTAATTACTTAGCCAAAGCACACCGACTTCGAATATATTTAATTAGATATGTATAGTGAATGAAAACTACCAATCAGTTATTTTTTACTT